CTCCCGGACGAGCTCTTGTTTCTCTTGCTCGGCCTTGTCCGAGAGCTCTTGGGTAAGACTCTTCTCCTGGTTCACCAGGCGTTCTTTTACGTTAGCCAAAGATTTCTCCATGGCTTCGTAAGAGTGCATTTTCTGACGAAGGGGCTTCAGCTCGGCTTTAAGTTTGGTGACGGTCCCCTCCAGCTCGTCAACCTTCTTTTGGGCCGCCTCTAGCTGAGCCCGAACAGCGGCGGTCGCCTGCGCCTGATAATAAAGAAGATCAATGGTCAGTACTTCATTTTGGGCAATTTGAAACATTGCTTTATCACAGCTGGAGGCGGCCATAGCCTTTGCGGCCTTTACCTCTTTGTTTTTCCGATCAATCGGCTTGCGAAGGCTGTTGACTCGGAGCAGGGCCTAAGAACAAAGAAAAACAGGCGTCAGTTTCCAATCATAAGGGTTAACAGGCGTCCTGGAACTTCAAAAGGGTATACCTCAGCTAAGATCCCCGAAATTCCATCGAGGTCAAGGGTGCCGGCACCCTTGACCGCCTCCCTGTCAGAGGGAGGAACTACTTTAACCATTGACTTGGCTACCTCAACCAAGTCAAGTCCCTGGGGGCCGGCTGCATTAAGCAGAAGGAAAAACAAGTTAGACCTAATCAAGAAGGAATCAAGAGTGAGTTTTTACAAGCAAGTGTCCATACATCTAGGCGGCCCCGCTTGGGTTTTTGAAGAAGTGGCCGGCTGCTTCTCAGCCGCCACTGTTTTCCTGGAAGACCCAGGAGAGCTTGCAACAGTCGTCCTCCGGGCCTTGGGGTCCGGCTGTTGCGAGGAAGAAGCCCTTGGAGTGCCAGACTGAAAACAAAAAGAGTTAGTATATGCATAATACAACTTAAAGGGGAAGAGTTTTCAAAGCTTACCAAGGGTGCCTCCTTGCTGGGGGAGTCGGCGTACGACTGCTTCATTAGCGAAACCCGCAGCATGGCCGCCGCAGTCTTAGATGCTGTTATTTTACTCATGGCGTCGGCTGAAAGAAATAAACAGCAAAGTTAGTAAAAATCCCAAGTAAACAAGGCGTGAAATAACAGAGTATTCGTCAGGCCGGCTACCTCTAGAGCACCGACTGCCGAGGCCACAGGCGGCCAAGAAGTACTCATCATAGAGCCACTTGAAGCTCGGGACGCAGTGTAGGGGTACTTGCTCTCGTACCCCTGAAGTAGAGTTCACCCTAGTCTCTACTTTGAAGAGTCCTTTGTCTAGGATCTCTCTTTTAGCCTTTGGGGGAACAGGCGGCATGCTGCGGCCGCCTGCAAGAAGAGGCGGATCCCTGTTCCACTTGTTAAATCGTTTGTTCAGCTCCGTGTCTGAACTCTCGATAATAAGGAAGGTGTTCCGCCAATCCTTCCATTTGCTTGCCTTACCTCTCGTCATGAGGTAACCCCTGTGGCTTGTTAGTTGATACCAGCCGGTACCTCCCGACTTAGGGGTCCGGCTGAGATAGTTCATGTGGGCGAAAGCCTCAAAACTTGGCTCCACCCCGTTCAGTTCGCACCCGGCCACATAGCCGAGTACGTTTACCCAAGAGTTGGGGGCTAACTGCCATAACCCCAGATCATACCCATCTAAAATCCGCTGAACAGCCGGATGTAATGGGAAGCGCAGACCAGCTTTGATGGCCGCCACATAGCAGCCACGACAGTATCTTCTGGATCCGGCACAAACAGTAAATACTCCGGGCTCATTTTGTGGTTAGCAATAAAGCTAGCCACGTTGTCTCGCATGGTTGCGATCCGGCCCCGGGGCACCCTGCAGTAGTAGGGGGTGTTTTCCTCTCTGTAAGAGGCGGACGGCTCTGCCCAATTATCCCCCTTCTCCACTGCATGGGAACTTCTCGCCTCTTGTAGGCGGTTATGTTTTTCTTCTGAGTCAGAAGAACTATGGTCAGAAGAGCTGGAATCGGACTCGTCCCCTGACGAGTCCGAAGAGGACGACTCCTCCCCTCTCCTAGAGGGGCCCGCCTCCTCTCCCTTAGAAGGAGCAGAAGGTAAATTGGACATGTCCACGGTTAGATGAGAAGGGAACACCTTGGTCCCTCTCTCAGAACTGTCAGCTTGACAGTCGCCTCGTTCCACATCTGGCGCCTGGTCAGATGTTTCGCTAAGGAGTACCCTTTGGGAGGAGCCGTCTGAGTTTGATATTCTAGCAGTCTTTTTTGTTCTGGCCATCACGTTCTGCATAGACACAGATTCAGTCGGACTTTGTATAAAGGGCAAAGATGGGTCCAGAAAAGGGCAGGCGGCACTCCTAGTCCTAGATTCAGCCGTCCCCGGTGACCGGCTGATCACTAACTTAGGGCGTGTCGTGTGCTTCCATGGTGCCATTTCAAAAAATAAAAAGAAAATTAAGAGTAAGAGAATTGAGTTACCTGAACGGATGACAGTTGATGAAGTCCTGAAAGTTCGGGTCAGTCGGCTTGACAGAACAGGCGGTAGGCAGAAAAAGTCCGAAAATGTCAGAGCAAGTTCAGGGGTCCGAATGTTCTCGCAAAAATTCTCAAATGTGAAAATGACCGAAGTCAGCACTTCCTTTTATAGGCAAAATGAGAAGGCGAAGGGTCGCTTCCGAATTCAAATTTGGGCGGGAGAATCTCCCGGCCGTCTGCAAGGTGACACCTGTAACGGGCCGTCGCCTGTCACCGTGCGACGCCTGTCACAGGCGACACGTGACCAGTCGCGTGCCACCTGTGAGGGGCAAATGATTAGGGGATTTTTATCCACCAAGCACCGTTTGACAAGTGGACCAACCAGGTTCCGCCACGCGTCCTCCACGGACCACTTAAGACACGCCACGTGTCCACCCATGCCAAATGGGACAACCGGCCATCAAGGCCCATTTCAGTCTAGAAGCCCGATCGGCCCTAGGTTTACCTTAAACCTAGAGAGTTGCACGCTTCCCAAGGCTATAAATACTCGATTAATCCTCATTAATCAAGGGACCGAATAATTGACAGAACACACTAATAACCGGCTGATCTCGCTAGCAAAGCAGATTACCTACATTAAATACTCTCACCTAGAGAGACCTTATTACTTTAATTTCTGTATTAATTACTCCTTAATCAGGTACTAACTTGACCGTTGGAGGCGGAGCTCTCAGGAGTCTCCGTTATTTTGCAGGTACAGGCGTCCGGTTCCAGTCTCGGAATTGTAACTCTCCCGCAGGACATCAGAAAACCCCGAAACATATATATATATATATATATATATATATATATATATATGTATATGTATATATGTATAATTCGGTTGTTATTAAAATAATAAATGGATAATAAATCTTATCCAAAATGCAAAATAATAATTGAGTTTTGAAAATATTGTTGGCGCCAAAATTCAAATTTCATTTTGGCTCCAAAATTCAAATAGTAAGATAAATTACTAAAATACCCTTTTTTAAAAATACTAATTAATTAATTACCTGGAAAACAAGTCTCAAAAATACAGGGTATTACAGAGGAGGTGGCCGGTCGAATTTCGGTGGGGCTGGGGGTTGTGGCTAAGGGGAGGAAGGATGGTGGCTGGCCAGGAAGGGTTTTTAATTATTTTTTTTTCTTTTTTTTACAAAATAAAATTTGGACCAATTATGTTGCGACACATCACACATGGCTTTTACAAAATAAAAAATCACCCTTTCTTTAGGTCACTGGTAAATCGACCTAGTGGAAGAAAATCCACCCAAAAGTTCATAGTGTTCCCAAATAAGTGTAAGTTTGGATTATTGAGAGTAAATCGCTGAAAGTTCGGATTGATAAATTAAAGTGAATTTTTCTAAAAATTTTAACTTAGATTTTGGAAGCACCCAATATAATAGATTGAAAAGCGAGGATAAGTCGAATTCAGGGTTAATTGGAGGATGAAATGGAGTCGTTTGACTCTTAAAATGACCCTTTTTAATTTCTTTAGTTTTAATAAAAATGTGTTCCTTTAATGGAAGTGGTGTTACTTATGTTTGTTGAGAGATGGAGCAAAATTTCAATTTCAGGTTTACATAAACCCTTGTTGAAGGAGGATGGTAGTAGGTGTTGTTAAACCCACTTGTATGTGATGATGGTAAAAGTCATTACAACATCATAACCTTGTATGAGAATATATACTCCCTCCGTCCCACAATATAGTTTTTGTTTTCATATTTTAAAAGCCCAAAATGTTGTTCCCGTTTCTATTTTTGGATAGTATGTAAAGACCATTATACCCTTATTTTTTACTTTATTCATTGAACTTCCTAATTTACCCTTAACTTATCCACTTGCATTGTATTTTTTTTTTTTCACTTTCTCTCTCTAACTTTTGTCTATAATTGTACTTTTCACTTTTTTCCCCTTAAATTATTCACTTACCTTGTACTTTTGTCTAGCTTTTTTCCACTTTTAATGTATTTCTTCCACTTCTCCTCCCATTTCATAAATACCGTGAAAAAACACAATAGGAACTATATTATGGGACAGAGGGAGTATAAAATATGATTTTTTCAGATCGCATGATTGACATGTATGAAGCATAGATCTCAAGAGGATTTTATCCATTTGAATTATTGGGGTCCCTTAGGGTAAAACATACTGATTTTGGGCCATCTCCATCATTTCAGTAACATTCATAGATTTTTAATTGTATGTTAGAAAATACCTTGCATAACACGAAACATCATCACTAACTTCCCTCGTTCTATCAATAGTCTCATCGTATGTTTAAATGTATGTTGGTAAGTCTTATTTGCGTTATCCTCACTCGTTATAATAACTTAGAGGTAAATGTCGTTAATGACCTTAATTGGTATTGTGTGCGGGCTTCTTATACCAATAGTAACTTATGTTACTTTATTGTCCTTTCGTTTGTTGTAAACTCAGTTTAATTAATGTAATTTCAACTTATTTTCTTTTAAAAAATCTAAAAAACTTAAAACTTTAATGTGTGAAAATATTTAAAAAATATTTAAAACATGTTTACTTAAAATCCCTGTAAAACTCACCCTTTCCCATAATTACACGATCACCCGCCCCATTTATTTATCAGACCTCCATTATAACTATGGCGGGTCATGGCTCTTAAAAGGCTTCCATTCCTCCATTCCTACCTCTCTCAGTTATTTCATTGAAGCGCACTCAACGTTCTCCATTGAAGCGCAGTTGACGTTCTCCATTGAATTGCTCTCTCTCAGATATCCACTGAAGCGCATTCAACGCTCTCCATTGAAGCGCAGTTGACGTTCTCTGTTGAATCTAGTATCCCCCATTGAAGCAGCTTCTAAGGTAAGTTGTTTGTTGTTGTTATCATCGTATCAATTTCACAATCTAGGGTTTATATTTGATCTAATGTAATTTAATTATCAGTGCTTTAAGTTTAGGGTTCGTAAATCCTTAGATTATCTAAAGAAAAGAAATTTATGAGCCTAATTTGATTATTGAATCAAATATCCCTAAAATTATGAGATAATTGAATATGAAATTAAATCTCTTTTCCCTGGGCCTAGGGTGGCCGCCCCTCCTGTCCTGCCTCAGGGACAGGCCTGCAAAGAACAATGGAAGCAAAAAATCCTTTGACTAACAACTTGTTAGCTACGAGTCTACGACTACTGATTTGCATAAATAAATTGAAATTGATAAGCTTATACTATGTAACATTTATGTGACTTGAACCCTTTTTGTGATTGCAGACAAGCCAAATAAGGCATTGTTATCATCTGTGGTTTTATTTCGTTAATTATGGCTTCTTCAGATGATGCTGATGACAAGGCTAAGTCGCCATCCTCGTAAAATTTCTTACCTTCTTTTTGCTTCCCGCATATCCTGCTCAAATCCCTTTTGGCTCTTTTCTACTGCCTTTGCTCGTCCTGATCATGTTTTGCATTATGGATGCGTATTTTCAGGCCAAAAGATGTCTATAAGGATCCAGATGATGGGCGCCAACGCTTTTTGCTTGAATTGGAGTTTGTTCAGTGTCTTGCAAATCCAACTTACATCCATTGTATGTCACATCACTTATGTTATTATATCTAGTGAGATGAAATCTGGAGTTGTGCTGTGAATTGTTTAATTAGTGGAAAAGTATTTTACATGTGCAGATTTGGCTCAGAATCGCTACTTTGAAGATGAAGCTTTCATTGGTTATCTGAAATACCTTCAGTATTGGCAGCGGCCTGAGTATTTAAAATTTATAATGTAAGCATTATTTAACCACTTAAATGGTTGGTTACAATAAAACATGTACAATTTGCCAATTTGATGATTATGTAATGGAAACTTTGTTGGCTATTCTTTTTTTCTTACTTGCTTATCTAACATGACCTTGTTAAATTCAGGTATCCGCACTGCTTGTACTTCCTCGAACTTTTACAAAATGCTAACTTTCGCAATGCTATGGCTCATCCTGGGAGCAAGGTACCTTTTGTTATCTTTCTTGTTTGTCTTGATGATGCATTCAAATGTTGGTAATGAAAATAAAGGAATGAATATTTGTTGACCTGATATTGTTTAGTGTATACCTACCATTCAAAGCAAAGACTTTTGTCCTACACTCCTACCATATGTTGCCTGTTCTATCAATTATTCTGTTTTTATAGGTTAGAGGAGTACAATGTTACACATTGATTTGGGAAAAATAGCATGGTCTGAGTCAATTTGTCTATGGGCCCCCATCTACCATTGCTGATATGTGGGTTCTATACTTCTATGTATATGTTGTACTCCATAGTCACAAATTCACAATAGAAAATTTAACAAAGCCCATATTTGTTCACCTAAAAAGGGCAATTTCCAAGAAAATAAGTTTAGTTAAGGATCAATAATTCTATAAAAGGGTCATTAGCTCTAGATAAGGGATACCAAGTTTATTACTGATCATAAGGTGCTAAAGTTTTGTTAAGTTCAGATTAGATGATTTAGATAAAATCATTTTTAATAAACTTGAGATAAGGTAAATTTAGGTGAAAAGAACAAAGTGTTGATAATTTTCAAAGTAAGACTCTAGCTGTATCATAAATGGTGTTATGACTCGGTTGTAGAAAGCAGAAATCTGACTAATGTACTTGGAAGATTGTACAAAGTACAAAGAACATGTGTTGTATGAATACATCTTCATTTTCATATAGCCTTTGGTTCCAGAGTTTAGACATCATTTTCAAAGAATTTTTTGTCACAATTTGATTGCTATTATGATTGGTGTTGCTGGAATGCCCTTTTGCCCAGCCTTTCCCTCCCTCATGTTTTGGGATGCAAGTTAAGATGTTAAAACCTCACAAGCTTAGGATGTGAGTTACTGATTGTGATCTATCTATATGGTATTTTAACTTATTGTCTGTAAATAGGCTTATCACAGTAATGTGAATGGAATTCCAAGTTTGCGACTTTTTCTTTGTTATACTCCTTCCATCTACAAATGAGCGTCTTCTGTGAGTTTTTCTCTTGTCCAAAAATTGTCATTTTTTTTTTTCATTTTTAAACTTGCTGTAGGCCGGGGACTGCCCTGACAGCAAATCAACTTTATTTTATGCTTCTAATGAGTGTAGCTTAAAACCTGAAGGAAAGAGGCAAAGATTTGCCCTACAACATATGAAAGGAATAATTATAAAAACAGAGAAAGAGAGCCCTATGAGCCAGAATATTTAGATTTTACTCATTTTAGTATTCTAAATTCCATAAAAATAAAGGAAAAATTAAAATTAATAATCCCACCTTTCACTAACTTGCTCAAAACCATCCCACCTTTGAATAATCTGGAAATAATCCTACCTTTGACATTAATTTTCTTAAAACATGCCTTTTAACCTACAACTTGTTTAATAGGTTAAATTTTTATTTTTTATTCTTAATCTCTCTCATCCCCTCACAAAGTCATAACCCTCTCTCCATCATGACCAATTGACCACCAATGCTATTAGCTCCTCCCTCGCTATCTCACGCATCAACAATGTCAGCAACATTGCCCTCATCCTTCACCTCTGCCTTCACCCCACCCTTGCAACACCCAAAACAACCGCATCTCTACCTCTCCAAGCAACTACACAGTAGCAACAAAAAAATTAACGCCCAAATTGCGGCACTCCTAGCTCGGAGATTTCTCACGCCTAGCCAACAAAAACTGTGCACCTACTCCTCCCTCGTTATTAGTGTCGATGAATGAAGCTCCGTAAAATTTAGATCAAATTGGAGATGAGAAGTGATAAAGGGACTGTGTGATGTGCGTGGTGCTAAAGTGCTAAGTGGGGTGGTGGTTAAGACGAGCTAGGTTGCACGAAAACGGATACAGGAATAAAAACGTGTACGAATACAGGAACGGTATACGACAAAATCAAAATTTCCAAAAATGGGTTACGACATGGATGCGGTAAAAAAATAATTCAGTATAATATAAATCCATAAAATATTTTTGATTTAATTTTTTTTATATTAAAAAGCCATATCCAATTGAGAAATGACACGTGTCAAATTTACTTGTTAAATGGGTTACCAACAAGTCTCAACAGGTCATAGCCTGTTTTGGGAAGATTGATGTGAAAGGTGGGATTATTCTCAAATTTAGTTGTGACTGAGGAGATTGGTAAAAGGAGGGATTATTAGTTTCAATTTTTCCAAAAATAAATAGTCGTAAGTAAAAGAATCAATGTACATATATGCAACAAACGAACGATGTAACCACATCTTGGAATCAGCATCTCAACAATCGAAAATTAAATGATATAGACGTTATCCTAGTAAATGGCACAAGCCGTGCTCAACGCAGAATCCTATTCATCATTATAACCAAACCACAAATATTGAATAATCCCATAAAGTTAATATCACAAAACAATTAGCATAGAGAGAAATATGTGCTTACAATGAAGAAATCTGGGGTTGAAAAAGTGGAAGAGAGAGGTGTGGCAATGAAAGCCAAATGTACATGAGATGAAATCAATTTGTATTTGTTGAGTACCAAAATTCCATATTTTTTTACCAAATCAGTGGTGTAATAAAGCAGCTTTACTGTCTAAAGACCCTTAAGCTTTGCATAAGCTACTACATATTTGCCGGCTGAGTTCTAGCTTTTAAATCTTGGGTTAAATTTCATCTTGAAGTCCTTAAACTGAATGCCGGTTTCCTTTTTTTTTACAACATAGTAAGCAAAATAAGACAAAGACTACTTCTTATCTCTAGCGATACATGCTAGATTAATGGCAGCCTTATACAAGATACAACTACAACTACACTTAGAATTAGAATTACAAACACATAAACTATTATTAAACTTCTTCCTTGGATGATCGGAGAGATTCATTGTCGTACCACCCTTTCTCTTCATACTTGCATGAAAACTGGATTTACTATTAGGATAGACAAAGTGTGGATGCAAACTCTTGTCCCTTCTTCGAACCCTTTCTCCGATTCTCCACTTTTGAAGACTGGATTTGTTGACAACGGCTTCAGACAAGCTTTTCCTCCTTGACTTTGTCTTAATCTTGGCCAAAGAAAGAATGATGTCTTTCCTAGGAACCGGCCAAATACTATCCTTCACTTCAAGGTATTGGACTTGATACTTAACCTTGTTGTACTCAGCACCTTCTTGTTGCGGATGAACATGATCGATTTCCACACCAACAGAAGCATTCTTATATCCGTTAATCCATTCATCGATGACGACTTTTTGGACTGATGTCATCATCATGGGTAACACTTGAAGTGGATACGAGTGAGAGGACCGCTGCTTCCCTTAAGCTATGTTTGTGTGTGTGGGGGGGGGGGTCTTTATCACGATATGTTCTTTTGGGGTGAAGGTACGTACAATGTTATTAGTTGTGGTTGATAGAGCCACAACTCTTTCCCTTCCCTCAATTATCTAAATCTGCACGAGCAATTCTCAAACATGAAGATGGCTTTTTTCGATTGACAAACGAAACCTTAGGTTATGAAGAGTTAAGGTTTGAACAACACCTTGATTTCGAGTTTTTCAAATTACCAATATCCATGGGGTCTCCATCTTCTTTATTTTATGACTCTTGCCTACCATTTAGGCACTCATCGGCAGTTCCTGTTTTTGGCTTAGCAACAGAACACTCCACCTAATTCTTCTCTTCCTTGGACCCTTCAAGTCTTGTGTCATACTCCTTCAATCCTTCATTGATCGAGTTTTTTTTATCTTCACCACATTGTTGGAGATGCAATCTCTTCTGCCATCGAGATTTCTAAAGACTATTTTCTCCGATCTTTCCATCCTTTCCAATTTCCTTGTTATTTGGCTCAATCTCCTTTGTCAATTTGAAATCATCATACATTTTCTCCAAAAATCCTGACTTCTCCAACGCTACTCCCCTTCTAAACAAGGCCTTCACATTCCTTTTATTGTACTCCAAAACCAAAGAACAAGAAGTGCTAGCATCACTAAATTTGTTGAGCTTAATTGAACTTGCTGCAATATTCAAATGCAGGCAAATAGCTAGCTCTTTCAACTCAATACTAACCTCACGCTTATGAGGGTCTTCACTAACGGTACATATTATAACACACAAGCATTTGATACCCTTATTGTAAAGCACCAAAGCAGAACAAAATTTTGTCAATTTTAACAAGGAATTTGCCTCTTCCTTCAGGTCAGTCACATATGAGATAGCCCCCTCTAGACTGCTGGATCCCTCAAACATTTCCTCAACATCAATATCATCCTCCTCCAATTGATCTAGGTGATGCAACATTAAACGTCCTAAACTTGAAATTTCCCCCATACCTTAAAAATCACCCAACTAAAAAGACCCAAAATACAACTAGCATAAATCTGAACAAGCATTTAAGTAAATGCAGACCCAGAAAAGAATTAAGGGAAAATAAATAGATCTGGAGAGACTTACAAAGCAACGAGCGGCCACCCACTAATCTTCGAGGACAAAAATTGGGGACGACTAACATCAGAGGTGCATTATAGAAAGACAAGCTCGCCGGCGACCAGAGGAGGGGGGATGACCGCCGGCGAGCTTAATGTCGTTGGAACAATAGGAGGGATTGGAGAGAGGGGTAGTGGAGTTTAAGGCTAATAATTTCTCTATGGAACCTTAGAAGTGAGATTTTTCAAGACCAATGCTAGTGCTTTAATATAATGTATGTAATTTTTTTTTTTCCTCCCTGTTTCGATTTCCTTCTAAGGGATGAGATAAGAGAACATGTGAAACAAGGTGATCAAAAATATTTGGACCCCCATATATAACTTCCTAGATCCACCATTGCTCATAGCAAGTTAATGTAAAAAGCTTAGCATATATATATTCAGGGGGGGGGGGGTGGTGGAGGGATTTTCTTGCAAAATATACTCCAAAATACTAAACTCAACTCAAAGCTAATGTAAACCTATGCTGCAATTTTCCATGTAACAAATATTATTGAATGCATGTTAAAAATTAATCTAAGGATTGCTGATTATGTATGTTATATCCACATGAGACACTCAGTTATGGATGTATGAAGAGAGTTGGTTCTAATAATGTGTAGTTCTTTTAAGTGAGGAATGGGTGAGTAATCGAAAACAGAGGACTTAAAAGTTAAGATTCTTATCAATGATTTGAAAACCAAAGCTCTTGGAGTCTTGACTTTGAGCATTGTGCCACTTTAAAACAACTTGAATCTGCCATGCTAAATTCCTGTAAATCATTATTACTTTCTTATTGCTTTGCTAATTTAGTTCTTGGTTGTGACAATACCTTTTACTATCTTTTAGGTTGGGCGGTAATATGGTAGGAATGGTGATGGATTTGTGTAATTTTGCAAGCGAATTAAATACTAATGTCTATGATAATGGAACCTCGCCTTCATCTATAGGATTTTCTTCATAATTTTATATTCGTTGTCATTCTAGAAGTATGACTGAGTGCTAGTGAAAATATTAAGGATAGAGTTACCAACTTATTCTGAACTTTAGTATGGGATTTTTATTTCATCAAAAGTGCAATAAAGCTCATTGTCATTACCTTTATTTATTACTCTCTCCGTTTCATTTTGTTTGTCCCATTTTCCTTTTAGCACAATTTTCAGGGCACAAATATTTAAGCATTAGTATCTTAAATATGCGTTGTAAAAGATTGTACGAAGTTGATAATTAAAATCTACACATCGATATTATCATAAAAATGCCCTACATTTATTTTATCTTATATTTATCGATTCTTTCCAGATGTAATTGATGATTTTTTCAGCAGCTTAATGCACTAATGTTTGTCACTGAATTTCATGGAAGAAATGTTTTTGTTTTAGGTTTCTTTTACTTAATCTGTAAGTACTTTAAATTTTCAGGAAGTGGCACACAGACAACAGTTTTATTTCTGGAAAAATTACAGAAACAATAGGCTGAAGCACATTTTGCCAAGATCCCTTCCTGAACCTGCTCCTGCACTTCCAGCTTCAACTGCTGTGCCATCATCCATTCCTCCTGCTATTCCTCCCACATCTGCTCCCTCTCCAGCTCTATCTCCAATGCAATATGCAATCCCTCCTGGATCTGGTGCTGCAAAGAATGATACAAGAAACAGTGGTATTGATAGAAGAAAGAGAAAGTAAGTTTGCTAATTTTGTAGGATCTTGAAAGTTGACATCGTGCAATTCAAAGGTACACATGTAAAAAGGTGCACAGATACTGATGCAAATGACATGTACACAGGAAAGAAGGATAAGCATCTTGATTACTGGATTTGTTATTGGTGGATTGAATCTCAACCATTCTAGGAAGCAGGAGTTTGTTTAGACTTCTTGTCACCAATGGTAAACCACCACTTTATATCTTTTGTTGTAGCATATCAAATCTTTCCTTTTATCAATCAAACGTTTCAAACAAACAATATCTTAAAGTAATAGTACTTAGAAAGTGGACTTAAAGTCCTCTCTAACGAAGCTTTCCATGAAAAAAAAAAAGAAAAATTTTGATTTTCTTTTGAACTAGTAATGGTAGAACCTTATTGACAAATGTTGCTTATATGCATTGGTGTCTTAGAGCTTTCTAAAATCCCTGCATTATAAGAATTAGTGTACCTACTAATCCTTTGAGAGATTTTCCTCTCAATGCCATTTTGGCATTTTCAAATAGAGTATAACAAGAGGGGATGAACTTGATTGTAGAAAACTCTTCTCATGGTTCTCTAGTTAATGTTGCTAATTGTTGTATAAATATGACACGTTTTTCCCATGGTTGTATACTGTCTTGTCCTTCTTGGTTTTCGAAACCCACAAGATACCTTTGCCTATGGTAATTAGACCTCTAAACTTCATATGTAGCCACACTATACATGTGCTTTCTGGACTAGCTTATGTATTGCAAGTTCAGTTTGGTGTGAAAAAGCAGAGGAAAGGTTTTATTTATGGGAAACGAAGAATCTGTTCATCATGTTTGGAGATGTATATGAATTGGGTGTTTCCATTCTTGTAAATTTAAATTTGAAAGTTTGAATTGGTCATTGAGCATAAAGTAGGTTATTGTGCTCCAAAAGATGCCTTCTAGTAGATCAGAAATGAATATACCCCTCTAGCTAATACACAGACTGTGGTGGGGAATATTTTTTTTCGTCTGTTTTTGTAGAGGGGCAGATAGTTTTCCCCAAAGTGGAAACTAGAAATACTTTTTTTTTTTTTTTTTGTAGAATGCCCACATTTTCTGCTCTATTTCTTCCCTTTTACCCTCTCTTCTCTTTCATCCCCCGCCCTCCCCTCCCCTCTGCTTCCGTTCTTCCTTTTCTCTCTAACTTTTCTAATAAAGAACCATTTTCAGTTTCACATGTTTTCTGCCCAATCAAACAAAGTATCTTGGCACTAACATTGTTAGTTTGGTGCAACCATGTAGAGTGATGTTTTTCTGCCAATTGGCTCTTTTATAGGGGTGTGTGTTAAGTAATTGTAGATACAAAAAATCTACTTGAAATTTTGTAGAATTTCCTGATGTCATTCACCTCATGCGTTTTCACTTTTAATTTCATTTCTTTTACAACCATCTTAATTTATTTATTTTTATTTATTCTGATTTTACTTTGTCTTGCACCTTTTTTCTTTCTTATACATGATACATTGATACTATCTTCATAGGGGTAGCCCATGTACATGCTTCTACCGTAAGTGCTGACTCTCATTGGTAAGAAAAACCTGTTGTTAACAAGGTTGGATGTCTTTTGAGTGTACAAGAGTTTTGGGAGGGTTTAAATCTTCCAATCTATATATTTGTTTATGTTATATTGTGTTTAGGAATTGTACGTCGCTAGGTGCAAAGGCCAACATGTGTTTTTGTGTGTGAAATTTAAGTTTAAAAGAATACAGAGATAAAAGGCATTTAGATCGTTCAGTATTTGGAAATCAAATTCTCAAGAGTTATAATAGATATTAGAGCCTTTAGAAGTATCCATGAAGTCCTGAACTTCCGAAAAATTCTTTTGTACACTCAAATGTTCCTTAAAAAAAAGGCACACCAATGTTAAACATGTAGGGCACATAACTTGACACAAGCCCTTAATATATCACACAATGGCATGCACCTCGCATACATTGGCGATTGACTTGCTTGCTATTGGTGTGACACTGATTAACATTATGGCCTTTTACTGCATAAATAGTTTGTCTTTGTATCCTCAACAATTTTCACCAAGGGCTTCTCTCCTATCCTACCCCCATATTATATACTTGATTATAAATTATCTAGTGTTTGTTAGGTTAGATGAAGTATTAGTTTCTAGTAAGTTCAATGTGCATTAAAATTACTTAAATAGAGAAATTCCCACTTCCCTTGGGAAGTTTCACTCACATAGGAGGGATTAGGTAATTGAACTCTATTTTGTGGGAAGAGTTCTTCCTAGGAAGCTCTGATTCTTACTCCATGTTATGTTGTCAACCAAACAAGTGGATATGAATCTACTTCCTAGCTAGGAACATCTATGTGTTAGTTAAACATGTGCTTTGTCTCGACCCAAGCCTACGTGGTCATACTGTAGTAAGAGGCATTTCACCTTGTCAAGTTAGTACTTAGTAGTTCTATGATTTGTAGGTATTATTTCAGGATTTAAGTTGCTGAAATTGAAAGAAGAAATCCAGTACTTAATGATTTTTCTGTCAAGTTTGAAATATTGGTTTGATTGGGAAAGCTGAAAGCATGGACATGAAATGAGTTTGATACTTTCATACCAATAATTGTGACGGGGATGGGAGTCAGCAGATCATCACTTTGAATTTCTTGTTTTAATATACAAAGTATATATTATTTTTTAAATTTTGATTTCGATTTTGATAGCTTCCTGAACTAGGAAAGTTGTAACCTTGTGGTTAACCAAAGACCTACATCTAAGTTGAGCATCCTCTCTTTAAAGTGAATATAAAGAGTCACAAGGAAACAAGTCTATGGCTAATCCATGATTTTAAATTTCACAGGCACACACCTCTATAATTTAAACCCTTCGTTAATATATATTTTAGATTTCTCTTGTCCAAAAGAAAAAAAAAACAAATCCAACATAAAAGATTAAACGAAATATCCGTGTAGAATCTATAGCCGATTTTGATGAACAATCAAGGATTTCTTAGCTCACAAATCTTTCCATACCCTTGTATCTTGTTGCTCGTTCAATCAGCTTAGTCTTCCAAGTAACCCTTTAAAACGTCTTTTGTATATTGTTGTTTGTTAATCGTAGTCAAGTGGGTCATGATGCCTCATTAAAGTCATCATATACAGGGGTTTACTCTTCTATTATTGTTCAACCAAGACTTAATAGAAAATTAGATACGTTTATTATAATAACCATGATATTAATCAGCTAACTACTAGCGCACCTAGCATTTTAAATATGTTCGAGCGAAATATTATTATACGAGTTGCCGTCTTGCCGACAATAAATTTTACCAAGGAAACACTAATGTGGACTAAGAAAATGATATAGTAATCAAATCAATAAACTTTATTTTCCCAAAAATCTTCGTAACTTTTAAATGGTAGTAGAGATTCGAATGAATATTAAAAAGTGTAATAGATTTTATGGAGAATAATCATTTGAGGAGATAAATTGAAGCTATTAATTAGATATTCATATGGTCGCAATTTTGATCTATGAGAAATCTAGTAGTATGATATTAATTGGAATATCGAAGTAATGCACGGATTTAATTCATCAAACTATAAAAACAAGTAAACAACAAAGAAATATTGAACTTGTGGAAAAAACTTTATGAATTTAATGGAAAGAAAAACTTAAATTTTTACTTTAAATTACAAGTAATTTCCTCCGTTTTGGAAAGATTTTGATGTTTATCAACTTGTGGCCATACTTGGTAGATTAGATATAAGAATAAACATTGGACCTTGTTAGTTTTATTTTACCCTTTATGTTCAAAAGTAGTTGTCCGGGAGCATAATGATCAATCTTGATTCATAGAATAACAATTGGCAATAACTTGTCTCTAATCAATAATTGATGACAATTTTCCTTGTCATAATATGATCAAGATATCTTTCTATAAAAGGAATTAAGTTGATTAAATGGGAAATAAATAACAGAGTTAATCTGTTCTAGCTACTTCTTTATTTAGCTACTAAGGAATGAAGATGGTGTTGGTTTGAGCTATTGGGCATTGTCCGACATAACTAAAGTATGGCACGATAGAAACACAGGATAGTCACGATATAATACGTTAGAGTGCATGTTAGACCATGGACCACATTTGTTCTAGGGAAACACAGTATGGTATGATAGAACATAATCCAATATAACTGATCACAATCAAATCCAATTTAACTTAAATACGTAACTAATGTAAATATGAGACGACACGACACACAAACAATAGATTCGAGATGAGCCTTGGGCCCTTGGCTACCCTTTGAAAAATTTCAACTCGCACAACATTTAACCAATGGGTGCAATATTTACGGAGTACAATCAGTAGTTCAGTACTTGACCTAGTATTACTCGCGGAAATCTTCTGTATCAAAGTGAGCAATTGTCGGTTCAGAACGACAGGGTCCCACCAAGAATTTTGTTACAGTACAAAATTGAACCCACCAAAAAGCGACATGCTAATTAGCAAACGAATAATGCTAAAAATGATTGATTATTTGATTATTTCTACTTGCAGAGAAAATTTGGGCCCCATTTTAGAGCAATCAATCATAATTAACACCCTGTACTTGTTATAACACCACGATTATTCCCATACTCCCTTACTATATATACTCATTCTTCACTCTTCACATGCTCCACTCTTCCCCATCACCACCACTTGATCTCCTCCTCCTAACCCAACATAATCACAATGCAGCCATCCATGGCGGCGGTCGTATCCCTCCTCCTCTTCGTCCTCCTCGTTCCTGCCACCACGGCGTTCAACATTACGAAGATCCTTAAAGCACACCCTGAGTTCTCCACCTTCAACCAATACCTTACCGAAACCCACCTTGCCAATGAGATCAACCACCTCCAAACCATCACCATTCTTGCCCTCGACAACTCTGCTATGTCTTCCCTCCTCTCCAAGGGTTTTCCTACTCGCGTTATTCGCAATGTCCTCTCACTTCATGTCCTTGTTGACTACTATGGTGCCAAAAAACTCCACCAGATCACTGATGGTATGTACCTAATTACTAATAATATTATTTCGATTTTTTTTTACATATTAAAATTTTTAGACTTCGTATAAAATTGTGTCACAATAACTTAATGTAAGACAAGTTAATTTGTTACTATGCATATTTGAATTTTTTTTAGATGTCAACTAGATCGGTCACATAACTGCCCTTTGTGCATCTTTCTACACCAAAGAAAAAAGAAATTGTTTTTGGTCTAACTTGCGTATAAGCTACTACTACGCAATATTAGTAAGCCATGTCAACAAAAAAATAAAAAATTACACACTTCTACGACTTATGTTCATGTTGAAATTGCTTTCTTGATTTTATTTGATACATTACAAGTTAATCTGATCATAAGATATTGATATATACTTCGTATTATGTACAGGAACCACGACGACGGCTTCATTGTTCCAGTCATCAGGGGATGCCGATGGGGATGCAGGGTATGTGAACATAACAGATATGCACGGAGGAAAGGTTGGGTTCGGACCAGCTAACACGGGTGACTTGAACTCATTTTTTGTTAAGGCAGTACTAGAAAAGCCTTACAATTTATCAATTATTCACATTAGTCAAGTGCTTGATTCAGCCGAAGCCGAGGCTCCTACACCTGAGCCTAGTAAGGTTAACTTGACTTCCTTGTTGTCTTCCAAGGGTTGTAAAGAATTTTCCCACTTGCTCACCTCTACTAGCGCTCAAAAGACCTTCCAGGTAATAACTTTAGCACACCTATTATTTTGTGTCACATGAACTTTTCTGAATTTATTGAAACTTACTAAGTACATTAATATATCAAAATAAGGTGCGGAGAACAAAATTGTCATAAATGTAACACTAATGGATAACTAGTATTAATAGGGTACAAAATTTAACGTTGTTTCTCTTTTGTGTGTTTCTTATAGGAAAACATTGAGAGCGGCTTAACAGTATTTTGTGCTAGTGACAGCGCCGTGAAGGCTTTCATGCCGAAATTCAAGAACTTAACGGCCGGAAACAAGATCGCGGTACTCTTGTACCACGGTGTTCCAGTCTACAGCTCAATGAGCATGCTCAAGTCCAGCAACGGCCTTATGAATACATTAGCGACGGAAGGACCTAACAAGTACGATTTCACCATTCAAAACGACGACGAATCCGTAACAATAAAAACTAAAGTAGTAACGGCTAAGATAACGGGGACGTTAGTTGACGAGGATCCTTTAGCTGTATATAAATTAGATAAAGTACTCTTGCCACGTGAGCTGTTTAAGCCATCGGCTACACCTGAGCCGGCTTCTTCACCCGAAGCTGAAGCGCCGGGCCCTGATGCAGCCGATGGCCCTGCGTCGGATGAGGATGATGATGTGGCGGATTCGACGTCTCATAAGAAGAAGAATAATGCAGCTGGATTGATCAACGGTGGAGGATTTTTGGCTTTGGGGCTCACTTTGTGTTATTGTGTGCTGGCTGCTTTGTAAAAATAATCCAAAACATACCAAAAAATACAAAAAAAAAAAAAAAAAATATTATTTTTTAAAATTAATGGAAAAAATTGACGGTGTGATATGACGTGGATTAAGTAAAGCTGGAAGTGAGCTGGAAGATTATTTGGCAAGGTTTGAGCACCGACGATTAGCACATGAGATAGTGAGAAAGTTTATGAATTTTTTAATTATTGAGTGTAATGTTAAATAATTGGTCCACATAAAGGTTTTTCTTTATTTTTGGTGTATAATGATATGATTCTTTTTGTTTTTTGTTTTTGATATTTGGAAGATTGTACAACACGTCCCTTTTTGAATTAAATAATTAAATTGTACATGTTGGTGTGGGATTAGTTGATTGCAATTTAGATCTTACATTCAATAGTATTATAAATTTATGCATTATTCTTTGGAGGAGATGAGATTTGTGGTCGAAAGTCTTATGAGCAATGACAATAAGTCAATAAGTTATCTACTCTTTAGTAATGACAATAGTTATGACTACACTTTAGTAATGAAAATAGTTATGTTTAATGTTGAGGACAATGTGATGTATATTCGTAAATTCGACAAGTAATTATAATATCCAACACTTTGACAATCCCTTCGATACTTTTAAAAACACATCCATATTGTTGAAAGTACAATAGAAGTATAGGGCAACAAACGAAAAGAAAAGAAAAAGTGAGAGAGAGAGAGAGTGAGAGTAGTAAATTTAATTGTGTATATGTGTTGGGTTTGAGAAGTGTGGAGAATGATTTAAGAAGGCATAAGGGTGCATAGCTTTGGAAATAATTAAGCTATGGATTGATTGCTTGGTGCAAAGCAACAATGAGCATATCTCAAGATCTAGAAATGATATTGAGATGATTCAAGTTGGATGTGATAACTCGTCTAAAGAGCTTTCCAACGACTGGTCATAAGCTCGATTTGGTCAAGAATCGAGGAAGTTATGGCTGTTTTATGAAGAGATGTCTGCGCATTGCGGGAGTTCGGTCGAACCTATGAAAGTTCGCCCGAACCTGTGCATGGTTCGCCAGAACATGAGGTAGGTTCGCCTGAATACAAAGAAGAACAACATTTGAAGGCTTTTGCCAATGGAGTTCGCCCGAACTACAGGGAAGTTCGGTCGAAGTTGACCTGGTTACTGGGCTCTGTTTTTTGTGGCCCGTTTTCCCTCTTTGCGACGTGTTTTAATCTTGAACGTAGGATCGTTATATATATACTAATGTTTATTCATTGTAAGTGAGGGAATAAGATGAAGGGAAAGATGTAAAGAGACAGCCTCAATGTAAAACCCAAAACACTTAGGGTTTGAGTGTTTGAGAGGGTGAGTTTCGGGTGGGAGCTTTCAAGGTGAATTGAAAGCTTGTAAACTACATTGTTCTTCATCAAAGTATTTCTTTATAGTGGATTGGTGGGTTTTTCTCCTGGTTCTCGGGTTTCCCACGGTAAATTTTCCTTGTCTTGTTTATCACTTGTTTTTCCGTCTTCGCTATTGTTAATTGTCGTTAATCGCATACAAGCTAGCACAATGCATGCGTTAATCCTTTCAATATGTAGTTGATGATTTATGTTATAATAGATGCAAGGGGTATTAGAATGAAGCATATGAATATATGATTGATGAACTTAATGATAGATTTGTCATGAAGTTTAATAATAGGATATGTTTATTTTGGTGGAGAGAGAGTCACAAATGACAATAATGTGAACAAGATTAAACATCATGTAATGATTATCAACCCAACGCGTATATCAACTAATTGACATCCACTCGACATTAGGATACATGCCCATCAGCCCATATGTATCATTTACTCTCGAATCTTGAGAAACATAGAAGTTATTTTAAGTCACAGAAATCTTTACATTCACCTTTTGAAATTTGCATAATAGACAAGAAAGTAAAAATACTATTACAAGTAAAATAGACTCTACAGCCTGTCATAAAATCATCAATATTTCTCAGTCGTGCCAAATCTCAGTTGGGATTTATTAAATCAGAAACACAACTTGAAAGTCCAACCATGACAGAAGAAGCTGACACAGACAGTAATCACTAAGCAGCCAAAGCACCACAGTATATCATCGGGGATAGTCTCAATAGACTTCTAGCCCAACAAAATAGTGCTACATTACAACCACCTTATTCACAATTATTCATTTGGTGACACTATAAACATGCACTTGACCATGTCACAGCTAAGCGACTGGTTGGCCGTGCTCGTTCACAAGTTACGTACAAGAGATACAACTACTTTCACCACTTATTCAATGTTTATACGTGGGGTGAAGAAGAAAATATCACCAAGCCGGTCATTGCTAGGTGAATTACCACCATAAACCAACAACCCGGGTTTTCCATTGCTTTTTCCATCAGCAAAGGCGCACCAACCCCTCGGGCCTGGATGATCAGCTGAATTGTAGCCATCCTCCAATTTCTTCCACACTAGTGTTTCTGTGTCCAAAGCATAGACTTCTCCTGAGAATTTACCAGCACCTAGGTGACCCAAATCACTAGGGTCAATCTCTCCACCATATATGAATATGTACTTGCCAATTGTAGCAGTTGAAAATACACTTCGAGCTGTGGGCTTTTCGCCTGTTGTTTCAACCTCGGCCCACTCTTTCTTGATGAGATCAAAGCAGTGGACATCATCCACCTCTTTCCCTGCGAATCCATACACAACCCAAACTTTATCTTGTACAACTGCAAGCCCAGGCCCACCTCTTCCTTTGCAATTTTCACCAGGAGGTGGGAAGTTCATCCATTTTTTATCAATGGTATCATATGCCCAAAGGTCGTTTAACCGGCCAGAGAATCCACAGCCACCAAAAATGTACACATGACGATCATCAGTTGCTGTAGAATGGTAGCTTCGGTGGAGTGGCCCAGTTTCGCCACTAGAAAGAAGGGTCCATTTGTTAGTAGTTGTGTCAAAGGAAAAGAATTCATTGAGCTCTTTGTGTTCAGCATCCCTACCACCGAAGACATAGATAGTGTCATTTACGGCTGCCATTGAGACACCAACACGTGGCGGTGGGATATCTCCACTGGCTTCATTGACAGACCATGATTGGTCCTCAAGATCAAAGACATACAGCTTGTTATCAACGGGGACTCGTGGCATGAATTCACCCCCAAAGGCATAGAGCTTCTTTCCTACTATGGCTATTGCATGTGAACTCCTTGCTCCAGGCCCTATTCCATTCTGTTCAAACTAAAAGCATACAAGTATATAACTAACAAGCACCTCAGGATTTCAGTATTTTCTCTCAAAATTAAACTCAGAACACAGCTGATAAAGATCATATTAGTCGTTACAAGAAAATATCTGTATGAAGAATACCACTAATATCTTCACAAGGTAAGCGTAAACATCTAAGAACTTTATTTTAGGATATCCAAACAATGGACCAACTCTGTCCTGTCACAAAAGTATATTAGCAAATGTTTTATCATCTTTACTGATCGTATAAATCCTACAAGATTGCAGCTTTTCTAGCCATTGATAACACATTTGCAACGGTAGACTTGCTGATAACATTAAAAGTGTATGTCACTTGAAATTATGGGAAACTTTGAAAGGATATAAGCAGTCAAAACCATCATAAACATATCTGGTCTGAAGACAAATTAGACCCGCATACAAGACCTATGAGCAAAACAGTCCTATTTTTAGGAAACATAACAATTCTTGTAGGACATATCAATATACTGTAGTATAATGACATGTTTGTGCTCGTTTTCATGAAACTTGGATCAAAGCTAACAAAAAGGTTGTTTTAAAATACTCATAAAGGTCAGTGACATTAGACTTTAGACCCCTCATTGAAAAGACCCTGATCTTAATATTGCTACATCAAGACTCTGGTTGACTTGAAGTAAGACTGTGATTATGAAACAAAAATTATACCTTCAATTAGCACTAATGAATTTGATCATTTTTGTCAAACAAATGATTGGTGCATACTACATCCATCCATCCATACTCAATAATAGTGAATTAAAGTGCACTTTATTCACCTAATTTGTTAATTTGATCTTGTTTTAATCGTAAATTGGACTTGAGTATCCCTTACTAACTCTTATTTGAACTAGTCTAGACTTAAGGTGAATAGAACACAGAATCAAGCTGTCCCAAACCCTTCAAAAACAAATTTGTATACCATGATTTCACTCTTTTTAACTGGGATTGAATGTGAAAATCCGTAACCTATATTCATCAAGTTGTTGGAATTGAAAATAATATACGTGGCAATTAATTCCTGACGAAAGGAGTGTATTGATTTATTGTTGCTGAAAGGAATGTAACTCTATACAATGACACAATTACAATGATGCATGAGAAAATAGAAAGAAAAAAAAAAAAAAAATTCAAATTCAAATTCCTCATTTTAGAGAATTGCAATTTCATAATTTGCACGCAATATTGACAAATTACAAATTACAACCATGAACCTTTAAACTGCAAATTACAACCATGATCCTTTAAACTGCAAATTACAACCATGATCCTTTAAACTGCAAATTACAACCATGATCCTTTAAACTGCAAATTAGAGCAATTTACTTATTTGATCATAGGTTTTTTCTTGGTCATTACATGTTGGATTTGACATTATAATGCAAATTATAAGATTCAGAAACTCCTCGCCTCATAATCAAACAAAAGTACTCTAATATAAATTAAACCAGTTAAGATAAGCGAGTTAAAACAACAAATTGGAGCAGAATTGAGAAAAAAAAGGGACATAAATTAAGAAGCAAACCTTAGCCCAATTACCCTGAATGAACATTGTTCTATTCTTTCGAACCTCCCACTGTTTTTTTAGTGTAAAGTTTGTTCCTCGCCACCCCTTTTTATTTGTCAACGGGCCAACTGCCTCAGAAAAAACACTTCTAATGCTCTCTCTGTGTATAATATCGACGGTATTGGACTATTGGTAAATGCCAATTGCAACTGAGGCGGGTTAGGTGGATAATTGGATACACTTAGCCATATCAAATTTCAAACCAAAACCGTTTAACTGTCCAAAACCAACCGACTCAAATGAGAACTGAACCGATTAACAACCGATTTTTTAAAATCGAAAAACGACCCGAACCGTATTTTAGTAAACCTATAACCGAACTGATCCGAATAATGTTAAACTATATAAGAACCGAACCCGTTAACGAACAGAATCAGTTCTAAACCGAAATGAAATAAAACCAAACCGAAAAAGAACTTAAATTAGAGGTAATCACTGGGCGGGCCGGGGCTAAAAAAATTTGCCCACTTCTCGGGCCGGAATTTTTGTGCCCAAAAATGGTCGGGTCGTGCGGGTTTTTCGAGCGGGCCTACAAAATCAACTAAATATGCATTAAAACGCATTCCCAAACCCGCCCAAAAAAAATCGGGCCGGGTCGGGCCCAATCCGATTTCAGGCCGAAAAATTCTGCCCAAAACCCGCCCAAAAATGGGCCAGGCCAACGGGCCGGGTCTAGATGTTTCTAACCCGAAACTGTTTGATCAACCGGGATAAAATTCGTTTACACCGAACCGTAACAAACCACAAACTGCTTGCACCGAAACGTTTATAAACCGAATCACTTACAAATCGATCCGTTTATAAACCAAACTGTTTATGAACCGAACCGCTTATAAATCAATTCGTTTACAAACCGCATACTATAAAGGGAAGATTAAAAACACGTTAAAAGGAATTTTAAACAAAATCTAATTATGCACACATGTTTAATACAGGGTACATTAATGTTTTCCCTGACTTTTTTTTTGATGTAATTGTGGATTAAGGAAAATAATCTTCTTCTTCTCTTTAAATGACAATATCAAAGTGCTTCATATTTTGCTCGGAATTATATTGGACCAAAGCTATGGCCTAGTCAAATACTTATGATGTATTATTGTAATTCTGGAAATTTATAAAATGAGATGATTACATCCTTTGATCTTTCAAAAACAAATTAAAGTCAATACAAAAATTATAATAAAGAATATTATTAATCAAAACCGTTTAATTGCCCGAAACAATCAATCCAAATGAGAACCGAACCGATTAAAATTGATTTTTAAAACTAAAAACTGACTCGAACCTTATTTAATTAAACCCAAAATCGAACCGATCCGAATAATGTCAAACCGTATAAAAACCAAACCCGTTAACGAACCGAATCCGTTCTAAACCAAACTGAAATAAAACAGAACCGAAAAAGTACCGAACCGTTTCCAACTCGATACCGTTTGAATCGGATAAAAACAGTTTACACCGAACTGCTAACAAACCGCAACCCATCTGCATCGAATCGTTTACTACCGAACCATTTACAAGCTGAACTGAATTAAAACCGCTTCAAAATAAACCAAAACCGAATCGATAATAATTTGAACCGAAACCGAAACCGAATTGTCAAACCAGTTTGACATTGCCAAATACACTATTATTATGTACCCGTGCTAAGTTGAATCCGTATGGATAAAAGATTGATGCTTTAACGGATAGTGTTCGTACAAATTTTAAACTTTTGAATAGCTACGTAGAAGATATTAAAAGATTGGAACAATTATGATAGAAATTGATACATTGAATAGTTACATAGACGATTTCAGAACCCAATAAAATCCTAATTTTGTGAGAAATTAACCAAAGAACATTTTATAAGAAATTACTTAATAAAACCTTGATTTTGTGAGAAATTTTGTAATAAAAAAAATATTGTAAGAAACTATCTAACAAAAGTTAGATTTTATTAGGTATTTTCTGACAAAAAATTCTTAACCTAGTTTTGGAGTAATTAGGCATGTACATAACTATTCGAGAATCCAAAAATCCGATAATCCGATTCGCAACCAATCCGAATTTTTGGATATTCGATCCGAGTTTTCATTTTGAATTGGATATCCGATCCAAAAAAGCGGATATCGGATGCGAATTTGGATATTGATTTTTAAAATTTCGGATATTATATATCCGAAATATAAAGGCTGAAATAGTGAAATATATATAAAAGTTTTAAATTGTTCATATGAAGCTGACCCTAGATGGCTGTATTATTAACTTATTATAATATTCTTAATATATTTGATGATAACTTTTATTGCAAAAAGACTATTATTTTGTTAAAATATGTTATACAACTTAGTGATAAAAAGTGGTAAAATTAGTGAAATTTAGAAAGTAATCATAATCAATTTTACTTAATATTCAGATATCCGAAATTTTCGAATCGGATTTGGATATCGGTTTTTAACATATGAGCATTCAGATATCCGATTCAAAATGCGAATATCCGATCCGTGAACGGGCCTAAAAGTAATGTTATTTTAATCAAATTTGAGGCAGTCACTATCCATTAAATTGGCAACATGCAATTCCACATCACCTATCCACCTACTCAATTTTCTATGAAACGGATTTTTGTTTTAGTAACTTATATGGTCGAATTCATGCCAGTGGACTCTCTAATCATTCATACTCTATGAATCCTAAGTTCCTAACTCTTATTAATCCTTTTGTTATTGTGGGGTTAATACTTAATACGAACCTAACATATTAATTGCTATATAGCTTAGCTAATACGGACGTGATCGACTATCTATAACGAAATTGTAGGCAAAATCACTTGCATAAACAAAAAAGGCGTTTATCCTCCTCTTCCCTCCTTCTTATGTGTTTCCTTTCACTCCATTTTCAATGTGAATCAATTACCTAACGGTTAAGATTATTCAAACCATTTTAGTCAAATTGGTTTCATCACTTTCATGTCCTAGGTTTCTTATACTTTCGTAATCTCGTATGTGTTTGGTTTGCCAATTTTGGCTAGCTATAGGCACTTCACAAGTTAACAATTGCACTAGATATTTTTATATCGTATAACAATGGGTACAGATCGACAAGATTCAATTATTATTATTATTATTATTATTATTATTATTATTATTAATATTAATATTATTATTTTATTTTTATTTTTATTTTATTTTTAATTTTTTGGCAACAACGGGAACTATTTATTAAGTCAAATCAAGCAAAGTCAAAGTCAAAGGCATAGACTTTGGGGGAAAACATTCATACAAATTCGTTTCGTATCAATCAAAGTTTCCCATCTAGCAATACTATGAGCAACTACATTACCATCCCGCTTCACATGCCTACAAATAAAAGAAGTAAAATTTTGCATTTAGCAAAGACACTTCATCATAAAATAAGAAAGCTGGAGCAGCTCCATCTTGCTTGGTTTGGATAGCCTTGACTGCATTAGCTGCATAACACTCCAACTCAACCCTATCAACTCCAACTCCAACTCAACCCTATTATTCAAACCAACTCAATCTTTAATTCTCTTAATCATACATTTAATCATCTCATACACTTTACTAAACAAACTCAACTAACTTCTCCAACATTAATTTTGTTAATTGATTACCACTTATACTAATATCTACTATCTAGTCATCAGTTGATCAAGGTTCTGTTTAGTTCACCTTATTAAAATTATATTCATTGAACTACTTTTTCATTGTATCATCACTGAAATTATATTATTGAACTTTTTCATTATATCATAACTTATGTGTGAATGTGTGATGGAAGATTATTCAAATTAACTTATTTAACTTAACTTATTTTGTCTATAAGTTAAAATAAGTTGAAATAAATAGACTCTATACGTGTACATGTAACCTTACCCTAGAATAAGCAACATAATTACATAAGTAATCTATTAATAAAGTGAACATACATATATATGATAAGTAAACCAATATATTCCCATTAGTTTATCCAAATCAAGTGAAACAAAAGTAATACATGAAGAAAATAGCAGAATAAAGAGGCTTCCCAAACAACTCAGTAGTAGTGGTCATCGTAGAAGCAGAAAAATTATGGTAAGGTACATAAGTATAAGGACTACTAGGAGGAACATATTGTCCTTGACCTCCTTGACCAAAAGGTGGCCCTCCACTCATTGGAGGACCATTTGGGTATTCACAACATGATGGGACACTTCCCGGAGGACAATTAACCCCCTCATAACCCGAACTTGCCGGTGGCGGTGGAGCTTCAGGCGGTGGTGGCGGCGGCTTTGGTGGCGCTTGACATGGGAATTGACATATTATGGGACAATTACTAGTACAAGCTTCAACATTATTGTTATCATCCTCTTTCTTTTGGGATGATAATGAACAATGGATTGTGGAAATTTGCAACAATAATAAGCATAGTAGTGTTAGTTGTTGTAGTATTATCTTTGTAGGGAACATTATATCGTGCAACTTTTTTTTGTTTTGCCAAAATATAACTAGTGAGAAAATATAATTAAGCTAGTGAATTGTTAAGTTTGAAGCATTATATTAATTTCAATTGTTTGTGGTTCAATTCTGAAATATAACAGAGCTAGGAAGTGAAATAATAATGATAGAAAATGTTGTGTGACACATTGCCATTTAGAAAGGGTATGTGTCACCTTAGAAAGAAATGTGCATGCAAGTATTTATTTAGTACCGACATATATAGGAGGTGATCATGGCAAAATTGGATGGTATGTATACCTATAATGTTAATTCGGATGTTCAAATTGGATTTGGCAAGGTCGGGTCGAGTCTATTTTAAACTTGAGTCATGCTAAATTATTGTGTTAATGCGAGTCAAAATCTAAATCGATATTTTTCATGTCGTTAGATTAGTCGGGTCAGATTTTGACACCTCTATATATATTGCTACATATTATGAATTTATACGTAGAGTTGAATCATTATCTAGGAAAATAGGTTTTAGGAAATTATGTAAGGATGTGTCAAATATATAACAAATCAAGTCAAATATAATACATATATATGGATGTATCAAATATATAACAAGATGGTGTTGGTTACCTCGTTTCTCTCTCTAGAATTTCTCTTTCGACTTATTTAGGGGTTTTCT